TCTGTCCCGGGTCATATGCAAATGTGATGATATTTTAATGGACTTTGTTAAAGTCTGACATCTGTCTCGCTCAACTTCCTGTCTGTGCGCCTTACTTTACCAGTTGAACATACTGTATTTGTTTGACATACAGTGCAACTGATGATACAGTATAGTGGCTGACCTCTTGCCTTTGGGAGATTAACACCATGACGAATACAGCCACTATTCTAAAGGAAAATGAAACACAGATTTGGTAGGTCATTTACCATAATTACTCTTAAACTCTTGTGTAGAAGCTATACAAGTGTAGGTAAACCATCAGAAAATTAAGTGTCATGTTTATTTTCTATCTAAGTGTAGCGTGCTTTCATACCTAATCTCTTTGGTTCAAAAGAGCCGTCAATCAAACCCTGGTGTGGACCTGGCTGCTTGAAAAGGCGGGTCTACTGTATGCCCACTTTTAAACTGACTGTGCAGCAGGTTGCCATCTTGTGATTAAGAAATGTTTTTAGGAAATTATTTTCTAGTTGGCTTGTATTAGGACATTTATAATACAACCCATTTATGCAAATTTGGCAAATCATTTGGTAACACATATGCACTTCAGTGCAAGTTCCCAGGAGCTCACTCTGTGTACTTTGTCAATTCATTAAGTCTATCAACAAAGGGTGTGGTGCACACGTCCCACAGTAATAAGACCAGAAACATTAGACATAAGAAACATTCAAATGCTGCATACATTTCTGTCAGTCACTGAATTTGATTTCACTACGTGGATCCTGATGATACAGAAAAGCTACAACTGTCCATTCGATAAATGACCTGTCCTTTTATATAACTTTACGTTCTCTTGTTGGTTTGTTTGTAAAAAGTCAGTGAAAACAGTCATTCCAAGAGCCAATCTAAAGGTATTGGCCCCTTATTGTAAAGTTGCTTCTTGAAGGTAAATGAGGCAGGCTGGGTTTAAGAGAGGCTTATCATTTTGTCATCTGATAATTCAGTTAGATAAACAGTATATTCATGAGCTGTCAGAAGCTCCTGTCCACAAGAGAAGTAATAAGCACATGCAGACGTTGAGGAAAACATAATATGAATCTCAAGAGTTTAATTACAGCGACTAGGGAATTTTGACTTCAGTCTTCAGTTTTTATTAAGCCTCAAAACCAAATGATCCGTTTCTACTTGATAGTATCTTTCCTTAAGATGTGTGTATTTCATATTTCTCTAATCATCTCGCTATGAGGAATTCCTGGGTACTGATCCACATGACCTTGAACACAGTTCTCTGCCCTGTTTTATCTCTCTGAAATAGCCTTTAGGAAAATCTTCTTCAGCTTTAGGGCTTTATTCATAAATGTATTGGAGCCTGCAGGAGTCAAATCTCCCTCCCTCAAGCGGCAGACATATCAACCCACAAGCCCCCAGTGTCTGTTTAAACCAACATCCTTATCATTTAACAAATTCATCACTCAGAAAACACCAAGATTTTTCTTTCCTGAATTCACATGAGGCGTCTGCCCCGCGCTTTAGAAACCCTTTGATCGAGCCATTCCTCTTGATAAATATTCATCAAGATGGTAATTTTGTCAACTCCTGTGTTTATGCTTGATGGATCTTTTAGTTATTTTAATTGCCTTTCATGAATATTTTCCTCTGACAAGCCGATTCAAATGCCGTAATAGTGGTTGGGAGACATGATAGGTGGATGATGTATACTTCCTGTGGCAGCCTCCAGGCAGCCGCTCCGCTCTGAGTGACTGACGGTTCGGGCCGAGGGTAAGAGGACCGCTAAATCTTGCCTGCTGCTGCACAACCAGGGATAACTCTCGCTCTGCTGCTACAGGGAAACATAAAGCAGGTTGCTAGCACTGACAAGGTTGCAGCTGCATTTGCTCGGACTTGAGCATTTCAGAGTAACTGGCCCCTCTGGCATGGCATGGATAACTGCCCCCCTCCCCCCCCCCTCACTCTCAATCTTCCAAAAGCAGCAGTCTACCAACCTTGAACAAAGATTACACCTGCCACTCAGACAAATGGTCAAGGTGAGGATTAGGGCGGGATTTGGAGTACTCTGCATTCCTGGCATATTTGTGGAGGTGACCACTCTGACATGTAATGCACGGATGAGCAGGATAATTTTCTTTATATTTAAAGCATTCAATCCATGTATTCATTGTATAACATTTAATTATGAGTTGATGCATTCTAATTGCATTTAAATTATGCATTAAAAACTTCAAAGTCATTTTTTTTGTAATTAAATCTATCGAATCAGAGTTGCTGCTTTGGACCTCAATCAATTTAAGATGGTTGACACGTTTCCAATTTATATCATAGAATATAAAATTAAAATAAATATATATATGGACTGTACTTATATAGCGCTTTATCCAGTCTTTACGACCCCTCAACGCACTTTACATACTACATGACATTCACCCATTCATACAGAGCAGTGTACCTTACTCTAGGAACTAGCATTCATACACATGCACACACCGTTGGCCATGCCATCAGTCAACTCAGGGTTAAGTATCTTGCCCAAGGATACATCAACATGTTGGCTGCACGAGCTGGGATCGAACCCACAACCTTCTGGTTGAAAGACGACCGCACTCCCTCGCAGCCACAGTCGCCCATACACATGTTAAAGGGTGAGACGACTGCATGTAATCCAAATAAAATGGATTTCAAATACTTATTAAATCCCACTGCTGGTTCAGAGGAAGATTGATAAGTGGCTGTTAGATACTTTTCACTTAATCGACGAGTTTATTTCTATGTATGTATTTTGATAAATCAATATCAATGACTACGTGTGCAGTATAATCCAAGTCTCATTTAGCCAGTCTTAGCTTTTGATTTCCCTGCATTTGGACTAAAACCATACCATGTTAAACCCTTGCACAAAAACATTCTTACTTTTTTACAGGCACTCTAGTCATCTGCGCAATTCCAGTTGAGTTAGATAGTAATGTTTTATAGAAAAAGGCATGTGTTAGTGAAGAAGTGACGATACACCTTGGTGAATGTTACTTTGAATATACTGCTTGAGTTGTGATCAGATGTTATTATATCGTTTTACTGTTCTTAGAGATGACCCCCATTTATTTCAAATCAGAACTACTTTTCTGATTCATTTAAGTGAATTCTGTTGTCTAAATATAGACGTGCATGTTTTTGACGTATCCATTTATTTCAGCAAAAAGTGTTGCTGCCCATTAAAGCTGTTAAAAAAAGTGATCAAGGACTTTTAATTACACTGACAAGCTTCATCAAGCTCATTGAAATTACATTGGGGACATTATTAGATTATAGATAGATAGATAGATAGATAGATAGATAGATAGATACTTTATTAATTCCAAATTACGAAATTATTTTGGCACAGCAGCAGTGTTGTCAAGCATTATACATGAGTTAAACATATTCAAATATACTAACATAATAAAAATACCATTAACAGCAAATATATACAGATTTACAATAGAAAAAACATATATCACTAGAGTATCTAAATATAAAGACAATACTGAATACATGTGAATACTCTACAATATACAGTACATTTTCACTAGGCAAAATAAATGTATAGAAATATACAGAAACATATTGACAATGTGTTATATATACATTACAATTGTGCAAAGTAGCTGTTGTGCAGAAAGAATACAGTAAAAAAACGTGTATAGTTTGAATTATTGTAATGAATGGTTGCACGCAGGTGTGTAAAACACTGCATGGCCAGCAGCGTCCACTCTCCAGCCCTGCAGCACACACTGGGAGCAAATATTGATTTCTGTTGTTGTTATCCTTTACAGTATTTGTACTTCCAGTGGACTCCATACAGCAGTGATGAACCCTTGAATGTGAAGATGCAGTTTGTCTCCCAGCATGGAAAGGAAACAACTGAGACTCCACACAACCCCCATGTTTCAAAGAGTCCTATAGCTGTGTGGCCTGAGGGAAGGGAAAGCAGTGTGCGCTCTACAGCAGGGGTCACTGTTGAACCGAAGCATTCCTATAGCATCCATCTGCCTCACCTTCTCTCCCTCTCCTCACTCTGAGAGAAAATGCAGCATGACAGAGCTGGAACAATAGCTTGATTTGATATCTAGGTCATGCAAAATCGTCTAATCTTGGCAAAGAGAATATTTATTGACTGGGGGTGAGTAACTTGCCATGTAGGCTGCTGTTAACAGATAGATCGGGGGTGAATAATTAACATGTGGGCTGCGACATGACACAGGTGGTGCGTACAGTGGAGTGCAGGGAGATAGGTGCCACCTTGTCAAAAAGGCTTCAGGTAGAATTGGAGCCGAGTGAGGAATAGAAATAAGACGTTCTATAAATGTGGCGGGTGTGGAGAAGGGTATGATTTGGGAGTTTTTTAGGTCATGGTAGTTAGTGGAAAGTGCATGTGAGGGCCATGGTTGATATCTGAGGTGGAAATTCTCTTTTTTGTACAGAACATAACCTTCATCTGAGTACAGCAATGCCTAGTGGTTTGGCATTTCGTGTTGGCAAATCATTACACAAAAAATGCCATTGTAAGGGAGTTAAAATACTGCAGCAACATCAATTTCAAGCTTTCAGCCACATCTTATGGTCTTTTTCGGTAATTGACTATGAATGTTGAAAATAATAAATAAATGATGAACATTGTCAATATACATGAATTAAGTCCAGTCGTTTTTTCCTGAACTAAATCATAGTTTGAAACATCAGCGGAATAGCAGGTGCCAACAGTCGTTTCCTTTGTATTATTTTGAGCTTTGGTGAGTTTTTAAGGACCTGAAGCAGGCTACGACAGTTGAGTTGAATTGTTGTGTTATTAAACATTAAACACAGAAGCAAAAAGGTCTACTTTCAGCCACATTTGATCGACGATCGCAAAGGTAGTGTGGGTAGATCGCATGGCATTGAAAAAAAAAGGAAAACAAAAAGAAAGTTAGCCTATCATCCATCCTTACTATGGCATTTGCCACTTGATTGACGTACAGGTAAGCCAGTCTGAGTTGTATTGTGCCATACGGGTTCATGCAGTTATGAGGGGGCCTCACCTCTTCACCTGAAGCGCAAATGCGGCGCACTATTATGCGCTTATGCGGCGCAATTAGTGATTTAGTCATTGTAAAAGTAGCTCCCAAGCTGAAAAAGTGTGGGCACCCCTTTGTTAGAGTTTCTGAGTTTGCTTTTAGCAACGTCAGAAGTTTGTCAGAAACATTCTCACTTTTGGGCAAATACTCTGTTTGGTCTAGGAAATGGATGACACCTTGAGAAAGCATGTAGGAGGCATGACGTGACACAGGATACACCAAAGTCACATGTTGATTTTTACAACCAACTCTCTCGCCGTTTCTTCAATTTTTCTGATGATTTGCCAACACAACTATTATCAACACAACTGTTTTCATTATGACATTTCTTCACCTGCAGTTAGGTTTGTTGTCTTCAAGTTTTGTGCCAGGCTCAATAGAAAATGGCTTCGGTTTAATGTCCTAGTCTCGCATACATCTCCCCTGGGATATGTCTAGATAAGTTCAGAGTTTTACTGCTTTTTCTGAAAATAACTCAACTGAGCAAACTCCATATGCTGATTGAGGATGTGAGAATTGTTTGAAAACTCCAGGAGTTGGACCTTGCACAACCTTTTCTGAAAGTGCTACTGTATTTAAAGGTCTGTTAAGAACCCTCGAGCTCTTCTAGTGAAGTGGTCTTCCTTCAGACTTTGGGACTCAATATTTACTTTTGCAAGGTCAACAACTTTTCTTGAAAGACTTCTTCTTCTTTTGTGTAACTTTAGAGGTCCAACTCGGTGTCGTGTAGCCATGCCCGCATCTCTGGTCCTAGGTCGAAGAGGCTGGCTTCCGAGGGTGGTCTATATAAGGGGCAGATGGTGATTATATGGTCAGCGGTCTGCTCAGGGTCACCGCACTCGCATGCCGCACTGTCCGCCAAGCCCCACGTCTTCATCGATGTTTTAAAGCGACCGACCCCAGTTTGTAGACGGTTCAGAGTGGTCCACTGCCAGCGCGGTAGGTCGTCTCCTCCAATGGCGCCATCTCCTGGGTCCCAGATGTAACGGTGGATTCGGGAGGGCCCGGCTGACTCCCACTCCTGCTTCCAAGCTGCTGCCAACCATGCATCTCTGGAGATGTCCTCAGAGGTGGAGTTGAGCATCTATATGTGTCTTATGTCTTGAAAGACATATATTTCTTAGAAAAACGACCACTTCATCATCATAGATGTTTGGAGTTTAGTCCATTCTTTTCATAAACAGACTGCATGATAAAAATGAACCACCTGGATCTAGCTCTTTATCTGATTAATCATAGCCTTCTTTGGAACACAAATCATTACCAGTATCTTTTGTTTGCATCTCTACACTTAGAACACAGTATATCAAGAGAAACATTTGTAAGATGAGGAACAGATTGTGAGTGTGACCCAGCCAGTCCCTCATAAATCAGATAACCATTTATCCATTTCCAGTGACAGTGATGTAACAGTTACTCCTCACTGAAGGAGGGGAGAGGATCTTAAGGACAGGCTGATCAATGAGAGTCTTTAGACAGGGTTTTGTGAACAGAATACCAAAAGGCCTCTGGGAAAAAGCTCACCCAGGGTCGCCCAATCATTCAGCAGAGGCTCAGGGAGTCGGCTAGCTGCAGGCGAGGAGATCTGTCTTTAAACACAAACCTCTTCACTCTGGACAAACAGGGAGTAGTGAGGGTAGAGGGACACTAACCTATAGTGAAGTCTGAATATTAATTTCAGGGCTAATGAAAACTCCTCTAACCTCTTCAAAATTGAGATCAACTTTCCTCTCTTAATCCTCTTGCCTTCACAGAGGTACTGGCCCGTGTCATTGGTGCCACTCGCTGCAGGCACAACCTAACCCTCAGCCCGCTGCTCGAACTTTGGATGCCCCCTCCGTCTCAGCGGTAGTAAGATATTTTAAGTGCTAAACCACGGGGCTTTTTTTTTATTGAGGTGGATTAAAGAACGGCACTGACTACCTTACGTAAATGGCGCCCACATTGAAGTGTATAATGTATGTTAAAGGTGATATATGATCATAGTTTTATTTTGGGTTACCAGCACTAGAACATGGTCACATGCTTTAAAGTTTAAAAAACACATTATTTTCCTCATAATGTCTTGTCTGAATATATTCGCCCTCCATCTAAAATGCTCCTTTTAGCGCCTGTCTCAAGGCTTACTCTGTTGTGATTGGTCATTGCTTTGGGTCTTCCCTGGCAGAAGTAAAAAAAAATAAGCTTGATGATTCTTGCCGGATTTTAACATGGGAATTGAAGTTTTTCTTTTTCAAAGAACTAGATATTTTGTTAATTGTTGTTAATATTTTGTACTGATAAAAATACCTCTATGCTAGTGGAAATGCTCCAACTGTGAGTCAGCATTGTCTATGGCAGTGGTTCCCAACCTGTGGGCCGCGGCCCCCTGGTGGGCCGCGAAGGTATTGCAAGTGGGCCGCCAAATCTTTTCCAAAATAGTATGATTTTTGTGGGGGGGAAATCAGATAAAAATATACAGAATAATATTTAAAATGATATAAAAAATGTAATTATTCTTTTCATCATTGCATTTTTCCTTAAAATATTAGATATGTGACGAGCAGAGAGATAGGAACATTTGTTGTAATCGGCCGGACTACTTTGCTGCGGGACCGGCGGGACAGCTCTGCACTTGATTGATGCTGATTGTGTAAACTGTAATTAAGTTACCGTCACCTGATGCAAGGCAACAGTCTTTAGTCGGTATAAAAGGTTGCTCAAGTATCAAAACTGACGAGCTTGGTGCGAATCGGGTGTCGCGGTCGAAGAATTTACCAAACGACAGTGAAATAAGACCTGTAACTATACAAGTGACCATGGGAACTCTGGCTCCAACTCAGTAAAATTCACCCCGGCCTTTTATATCGGTCCATTTGCGGTGAATCGGTGGGGAGTTTTGGGACCTTTGCCACACGCTCAAGTTGCAACACAGCTCTTTTTTTTTGTTTACGTGAAGTAGTGCTGCGTTGAGGTTGGTCAGCGCAGTCCTGATAACGGGGCCTCTCGGGTGGGGTGAAGTCAACAATTGTTCATCGACCACTATAGTATGACGGGTAGGGAGAGTGTATTTGGCGTTTATTTTGCACAAACGTCACCCTTGGCCGAGAACTACTCAACTGTCGAAACTGGCGGAGTAATTTGGCAGAAGTCTAGGCCCCCCGTAAAAGAACATCGTTCAAGAAGGCCACATACGACGCACCTGCTCAACGGGGCCTCGGTGGCGAAAGTGTGCAGCCTGTTGGGGCGGACACGACAGGGTCGTAACCGTGCCCGAGGCAGTCACGAGTTAGTTGTGTAAACCTGTCAGGTTTTAGGGTAACTTTGTTAGTTTCACAAGTGTCACCACTTTTACCGGGAGTCGTCAACTTGCCATCCGTCTCCAAATGTTTTTATTTTTAGGAGAAAATAGGAGCGGTGGTAAAGCATAGCGTGTATTCTTCGTCCAAACGGTCTAACGCTGCAAGCAACTGAAGTAGGTCCACCTCGTGCATTTCGCCCGAGAGAAAATGCGAAACCTAGTCGACGAGGTTGTGTATAGACGGTTAAAAGGGTAGTTAGGAAGCAAACTGGCAAATAGGCTGTTACTTGCCCAACTATCCGACGTAGACGATAGAGAGGTTGTAGTGGACTTGCTAGACAAAACGTTTCGCCCTTTTAATTTAGGAGCGGGCTACCACACACAAAAGTCGAAACCGTTACTCAACCCTCTGGGCTTTTCTGCGAAGGGTTCGTAAACACAAAAGATGGTTCGGGTATACGAGTAATGGGAAGAAAAAACGAGAACTTTATGAGGGACTCCGACAGACTTTTTTTAGGCGCCGAACCGCGTTATAACAGTAGTGACAAAACAGAGCCCACTGCACGCGCAAATTGTACCGAAAGGGTAGTTCCGAGCAACTGTTCAGAAAGTCGTGTGGCTGGTGCGCCATTGCCGAGTCGAAGACACGGACAAAGTTATTTTTAGGTCGCGATTCTCATTGATGCGGACATGAAGGAAGCCTGAGAAGAAAAACAAACTGCCGGTCCTCTAGGGCCAGCTAAAGTTGACTGTCGGGACAGAGAGAAAGGAAAATTATGAGGGACAACGATCGGTCGATAGTAAAATATGAAGA